GTACGTGGCTGGCGCCTTAGCCGGTTGAGCCATAGGCGTCGAGCCAAGAAAAGTATTTTTCAAGATGCCCCATCCATTTTGCTTTTTGTCAGCAACTTGTGCTTCTTTATTTCCATACTTCATTTCTCATTTTTCCATCCTATTTTTAAAACAAAGCTAATTGCTGAAAGTTCCTTTTGTGTTGATCTAAAATGTACCATTTGAAAAAATCTTTCTGGCTTGGCGCCTGTGCTCAAGAGGCTAAGGTGCCAGCTACATATACCTGAGCTGGCAGGTTCGAATCCAGCCCGGGCCTGCCAAACAACGACAGCTACAACCAAAAAATAGCTGGGCATTGTGATGGGCACCTGTAATCCCAGCTACTTGGGAGGTGGAGGCAGAATTGCTTGAGCCCAGGAGTTGGAGGTTGCTGTGAGCTGTGATGCCACAGCACTCTACCCAGGGGGATAGCTTGAGGCTCTGTCTCCAAAAAAATAAAATAAAATAAAAAATAAATTTCTATTAAAAAAAATCTTTCTACATAGGGCCTACCTAGTTCTGACCTCTGGAGTCTCATAGAACTAGTCAAATCCCTCATCTATATGATCACCTTCCATATAATTTGAATAAGATATGACTTGATTTCCAGATCCTTCACAGAAATAGCTGCTCTCTAATGGGTGTCTTTCAATTTTTTCTCATCTATAGTCTCATCTTTCAAAAGGCTGTCCCTTTTTCTTTTAAAAAATTTCTTCTTTTTATTTTTTTAAGACAGGGTCTTGCCCTGTCACCTGGGCTAGAGTACCTAGGCATCAGCACAGCTCACTGAAACTTCAAACTCCTGGGTTCAAGTGATTCTCCTACCTTAACTGCCTCAGTAGCTGAGATTACAGGTGCCTGGTCCCATGCCTGGCAAATTTTTTTATTTTTTATAGATACATGGGGTCTTGCAATATTGCTCAGGCTGATCTTAAACTCTCAGCCTCAACTGATCCTCCTGCCTCAGCCTCTTACAAAGTGGTAGGACCGCACACCTGAGCCACCATGCCGAGCCCCTTTTGCTTTTCTTTACTGCCAGGTTCCCACTTCTACATCTCTATCATCAAAGAAGATATATCCTAGAAATACACTGGCAGTTTTCTTGGGGTTTATTTATCACAGTCACAGGTATGATAAACTAAAGTGATACCTTCCTTTACATCCTCATTTAAAAAAGTAAAGCTCAGGATGCCAGTTGTAGGTTCTTTTTTTTTGAGAAAGAGTTTCACTTTGTTGCCCTCAGTAGAGTGCTGTGGTGTCACAACTCACAGCAACCTCAAACTCTTTGGCTCAAGCAATTCTCCTGCCTTAGCCTCCCAAGTAGCTGGGACTACAGGCGCCCACCACAATGCCTGGCTATCTTTTAGAGATGGGGTCTTGCTCTTTCTCAGGCTGGTCTCAAACCCGTGAGCTCAGGCTATCCACCACACCTGGCCCAGTTGTCCATTCTTTATACAAAGGTATTGGCAACACCCAGAATCTAAGAGGAAAAGAAAGAAATTAGCAAGAATCTAGTCATAATATTAGAGATTAGCCCTTTGTAGGAATCAGTTACCCTAAGAGTAGATGACTAAATTAATTGCTATGAAGACAGAAAACAATCACCAGAACCAAAAAAGGCATCCAAGAGTATTCTTAAGACTATACTATGACATCTCACCAACTATAGGACAACCTGACTGCAGTGTCAATGAACTACATGGAGGTTATAAAAGGTGTCTCACACCTGTAATACCAACAACACTTTGGAAGGCCAAGGTGGGAGGATTGCTTGAACCTAGGAGTTTGAGATCAGCCTGGGCAACACAGTGAGAGTCCATCTCTACTAAAAAAAATTTTTTTAGAAGTTACCTGAGTGAAGTAGCATATGCCTATAGACCTGGCTTCTTGGTAGGCTGAGCAGGGAAGATCACTTGAACTTAGGAGAAATTTAAAGCTATAGAAAGCTATGATTGTACCAGTGCACTCCAGGGGGGGCAAAACAGCATGACCCCACTTCTGAGAAAAATAAAAAATAATAAAAATCAAAGGGAACATAGACCCAGCAGGATCCACTCTTACCTGAGGGGTTATCACGGTGGGAGATGCACAAAGTTCTTCTGGGTTTGGACTATGGATGTTTTCCTTTTCTTGTGCCTCAGGAGTTCTTCCTGGCTTCTCTGGTGGCTCTGGATTAGGAGAGGCCTCTAAGGAGGCCCTAGGACTTGGAGTCCCAGTCCCCAAGAAGGCTCTGGGGCTGGTGGGTGAACCCCCTCCAGAGGCCGGAGGGCTGTTCCCCGAGGAGGACCTGGGGCTCGGAGTAGCTCTGGGTGGAGGAGGCCTACTAGGGGGTGCTGAGGTCCTCTGGATAGAGGCTTTCTTCTTTGGTTTGTCAGATCCTTCACTTGAGGTGCGGGGTCGAAGGACTACTTCTGAGAGTGATGAAGGCTGCTCTGAAGGAATCAGGGCTCTGCCTGGTGATGGGGCTGGGGAGCAAGGGAGAACCTTATCCTGGGACTTGCCACCCTCAGCAGTAGGAGAGGGCTGGGCCTGGGTTGGGCCATTGCAGTCTGATAGAGACTTCTCTTCCTCAGAGGAACTGGCTTCAGACTCTTCCTCTTCTGTTTCCTCATCTTCTAAGGGCTCTTCTTTGATCTCAGAATTGTCTTCTCCTTGGGCTGCTTCAGGTGCCAGATCTTCTTCAGCTGCTGAGGCAGGTTCATTTTCCTTCAAGGCAAGTGCAGAGGGACTGGTAGGTGAGGTAAGAGGGCTGGAGACCGTAGATGTTCGAACTGGGGGAGAAATGACTAAAGAGCGTCTCTTGCTGCTACAAAAGAAGGACATTGAGATTTAGAAGAGCTAAAAACTAGAGGTAACCTACATATCCACAAAGACATTAGAAGGCATTCACACAATGACAGAATAAAACAAATTAAAATGTTAGAAAGTTTGTATAATATGCACTAACACTTATAAAGTGAAGTGAAAAAAGTTCATGAAATTGTATCTACATCATGATCTCAATTATGTAAAATATTTATAGAAAAAGAAACTGGAAAAAAACATAGCAAAATATTAGCAAATATTTCCTCTGGGGAAAAGATTATCTGTGAATTCGCCTGCTTATCTGTCACCCTAAATCAGTGCCTGTGGTACCTTCCCAGTCATTCATGGATATGCACAAGTGGTGGAAAATGAGTCACCTGACATTCACTTTCCCAGCTGAGGTTTTAACAAGACATAGATCTACCTTCTTATTTCAGCTCTCATACTATAAATAAGTGTCTGGTAGCACCTGTAGCTCAGCTGGCAGGGTGCCAGCTACATACACCAAGGCTAGCAGGTTCAAACCTGGACAGGGCCAACTAAAGCAACAATGACAACTGCAACAACAATAAAAAAAATAGCCAGGTGTTATGGCGGGCACCTGTAGTCCCAGCTACTTGGGAGGCTGAGGCAAGAGAATTGCTTAAGCCCAAGAATCAGAGGTTGCTGTGAGCCGTGGCGCCAAGGCACTGTACTGCCGGTGACATAGTGAGGCTCTGACAAATCAGCAAGGTATATTAGATAAAGTGTCTTTACACAGAAACCCACATAAAACAAAGTTATGGACTGGTTTGTTAATGAAGATGTGTGACAAGCAACCCACAATAAAAATGACAGGTACTGGGGTAGCTACAGTTATCCCAGTAGCTCAGTAGGTAGGGCACCAGCCACATACACCGAGGCTGGCAGGTTCAACTCTTGGGCCCAAGAGTTTGAGGTTGCTATGAGCTGTGACACTATGGCACTCTACCAGGGGCAAGAAAGTAAGACTGTCTCAAAAAAGAAAATGACAAGTACCGATTATGTGCTGTGTTCTGGGCACAAGGATGGGAGGTGGGGAGAGGAAGGAGGAGGAGGAGGAAACAGTTCTTGCCCTGTGAGTTCCTGATGTGGAACAAGCATGACATAGGCTCTTTGTGGCCTTTATATTCTAGGACTAAGTTTAGAAGACTCAAACCACAGCAAGAGAAAACCACATTTCCCCTCAAGGTTCTGGGACATGTCAGTGTAAATGATGGTCAGTTTGGGAAGAACAGACAGTTGTAGAACTTTGGCTTTCAATACTGAGGAGAAAAGAGAGCTTTTGGAGACAAAGGAAATTTGTCTAGGAAGTCTACATTGGCTCTATAGTGATTATTTTTAAGCCTGTAACTAATTGCAAAATGAATAGTACAAACAATAAATGTGAGTCCTATTCTTCCTTCAGTCCCAAGCTGTTTCACCCCCTCCCTAAAGTCTCCTCGAACCATCCACACATTGGCAATTACCTCTCTGGAATTCCTAATGGTTTCATTAGGCCCTTAGTATGTGCAAGCTTACATTGTTCCTCATCTCCTTCAGCACATTTTCTATATTTCTAATTTTCTGTAAATCACTTTTGGAAAAGGGCATGTCTCCTATGTTCTGGATCCCTAATACGCAGCATAAAACGTTGTGCATAGAAGGGGCTTAATGATACTTTCTAAACAAAGGCTTCAGAATAATTATGCAAGTGGTCACATTCTGGGGGACAAGTGAGTTGCTCACACTTACTAATTTGAAGACTATATGAAGGAAGTGTGCCATAGGTGGGAACTAATTGAGCCCCCTCCCCCCACTTCTTGAATTTAATTGTGTTTTTCCTCTCACGTGGGCCTGTAGTTGTTGTTCTACTATTTTCAGATTAGTACTGAGTACATGGGATACTTGCTTTTCCATTCTTGAGATTCTTTCTTAGGAGAATGTTCTCCAAATCCATCCAGGTACATACAAAAGATGTAAAGTCTCTATCTTTTTATGGCTGAATAGTATTCCACGGTGTGTGTGTGTGTGTGTATCATAGTTTATTAATCCATTCACAGGTTGATGGGCACTTGGGTTGGTTCCACATCTTTGCAGTTGAACTGAGCTGCTATAAACATTCAAGTTCAAGTTCAAATGTCCTTATGGTAAAATGATTTTTTTTTCTTCTGGGCAAATATCTAGAAATGCATTTCCTGGGTTAAAGACTTAACTATAGCTCAGACTTTGGACTTTACCTTACAAATAAAACTAATGTAACCTAATTGTATGAACCCTCATATTAACCCATTAAAAAAATGTATGAAGGTAAAAGATGTCACAAAACAAAGTGGAAATAAGAGGCCATAATAGATTGGGGAAAGATATTTGTGAAGGATATAATTAAAGGATTAGTATCCAGAGTATACCAACAAACAAAACAAATAAAAACTCATATAAATCAGTTTAACAATCCAATTAAAAAATCCAACTAAACAATCCAACTAAAAAATGGGAAAAGGATGAATAGGAAAGTCATAGAACAGGAAACTTAAATGGCCAATAACATGAAAAGATGCTCAAGATAAATAGCAATTGTGGAGCTGTGATTCACCACTGCAAAAAATTCCATTTCATACCTATGAGTGTGGAAGAATTGAGAAGTCTGACAGTCTCACATATAGCAAGAATATGGAGCCATGGGATTCTTAATTATTGTTGAAGGGCTATAAACTGGAACAGTCACTTTGGAGAGCAATTTGGCAACATCCAGTAAGACTCAAAAAGCCCCAGTGACAGACCTTATGACTCAGCAATTTCACTACAAGTACAGACTAAAGAAGTTCTTGATAATATTCAAAGGAAAACGTAAAACATGTTCATTGCAACATTATTTATGATAGCAAAAAACTGGAAAACAACCCAAATGTCTTTAAAATAGCAGGAAGATAGATAAATCAAACATGAATTAGGCCCATAAGAGCATCCATAACAGTTATGGAAAGGAAAGAACAGAGCTAGTAACATACTGCAATAAGGATAAACGTAACAAACACTATTGAGAGAACAAAGGAAGTTACAGAATACATACAGCATTTGTCCATGTATATAAAGTTTAAAATATGTAAAACAGTATTTTATATGCATGTGTGTGTGAAGTAAAAGTAAAAAGACATGCATGGAAATAATAAATACTAAATGTAATACAATGGTTACCTTAGGTAAGGAGAAAGAGAAAGTGAGTAGGTAAGGGACAAAGGGAGCTTCAACTATATTCACAATAAATTGATTTCTTAAAGTTCGTAGGAGGTTACTTTTGTATTGTTCTTTATACCTTTAGTTATGCTGGAAATATTTAAGGAAAAGAAAATAATTTATAGGGGCACAGTATAAACTACAAACATCATGCACATGAACATAAGGGAAAAAGTCAGGACGTGGGACTGGAGATGAGGATGTTGAATATGCTCACGTACATACAGGACAAGTGAAGCAGAAGAGCCTTAGAAGTTGCTCACCTTGATAGTCCCTTCACAACAAAGACTTTGTTGGAATGTTGCTTCTCCAGTTTGCTCATCACCTCGTACAGATTGTGGTTCAACTAGAGTCAGCAAGAGAGAAAGGGATTCAAGCCAAATGAGAACCCAAGACTGCCATAGCCCTTCTCCCCTCTCCTTCAGACAGCTTCTCAAAATGAAAGCTCACCCTTTCAATTCTGATCTATAATTCCTCCTCATCTCCCTAGCACTAATGTCTAAGGTCCTGTGCCACCATACCTCTTCCTTCAGACTGGCAGCTCTCTCAAGGCAGGGCCCATAACTCATAGTTTGATTTGAGGTTCTGGCTTCTCTCAAGTGATCCAGGGAATGAAAACTCATTTTCATTATTAAAATGGGACATTGGGAGCTTCAACTATATTCACAATAAATTGATGTCTTAAATTGGTAGGTTAATTATACTATAGCCAAAGAAACTATAGAGAGTAATATGTGTGGCTGTGTGAATATGATTAATATTGTACTAAAACAGAATCTTGGAATCCCAGGATCAGAAAAGACCCCATAAGATTATGTTATATGGCTGCCTATCACTAACAGATTGGTCCTATTCCAGACCAACTACCTGAGAAACTGACTTGTGCTTAAGAAGTTGGTTTCTATTGTTCCTTTCATATGCCTAACCTCCTTTATTCATGCTGATGCCCAAGGTTGGATGCACTAATTCAGTTGTTAAGGGAGATGGAAAGAGCTCTCTGATAGTGTATATATGTACTTTGATATAGTTGAACATAATCAGTGAAGTACTATTATTCCATCATGAGATGAAAGTCAAAGTCTGTGATGACAAAATAGATATTTAAAGAAATTATGTAAATCAGAGCTACCTTCATACCTAGCAGTTTCAATTGGTCAGATGTTTCTCACCTTGCTCATTTCCCTGTAGAAGACATCTCTCAAGTTGGAAATGTTTTGGAAGATGGTCACATAACAACCAATACGACTGTTAGAAAGCAAAGCAACACACAGAGGTAAGGGGTGGTAAAGGAGTTCTTTGAATGCAAGGTAGGACCGTAAACCTAAACCAGCTATAACCAAGACTCCTCAGAGAAAGGCATTCCTCATCCTAGGATGTTCTGGGATCTGGATTCATCAGAACTGGGCCAGGAGCACACATGACTCTTTAGGAGCAGGAAGCCCAGAGAAGACAGTATCAGCTCAGGTTGACACCAAAGTTTAACAGTTTCATGAAGCTGTATCTTTTGGGCTCTTGAGGTACTAAGTAGACATGAAAGTGCTTTGAAAAATTATTTTAAAGGACTGTATAAATGTAAAGCCATATAATTATAATTGTCATAATAAGTAGTTATTCTTTATCTTTATGCAATACAGGACTTCCATGTCTGGATGTACATTAATGGAATTCTCCTGTAAATGAATTGAGGCAGTTTATATTTAAGGAGACCACCTTAAATTTCAATTATATTTAAATTAGGAGTCATATAATTAATGTTTTAATATATAATATGTGTAGCCATTAAAAAGGTTCCATCATATATGGAGTAATATTAAGTAACAATGTAAAATACTCTGACTACCATTGTATTAAAGTATATCTTGTACAATGAGAAGAAAATAGATGCAAATCGAGTTTCTGCTCAGATTTCTCTTCCAATGTAGAAAATTTAAATCCATCCAAAAGAGACGTGTACTTGCCATTACCCACAAGACTAATGCATAGAAGAGTGGAGACTAAATCTAAACATTTATTTATTGTGAAGCAAAAGTACCTTCATTAATGCAAAAAAATCATCCCACGGTTTAGCTTCTAAGTAAATCTGCACGTTTATAAACCAAACTTGTTTAAAGCAATACACATTTGAGCATGAAAGCAGAACTCCTAGCACTTTACTTGCCAAGATCTTTCCTACCCAAGAAGCATCTTGTTTTCAAACCCAGAAAAGCTAGCAGAACAAGGATAGTTATTTCTGTATTGTAGATGAAGAAATAGCTAGGGTCTAGAGAGATAAGGTAGCTTGCCTAGTATCACACAGTGGAGAATTCCATTTCTTTTTCTGAAGAAATTAGCTAGGGTCTAGAGAGATAAGGTAGCTTGCCTAGTATCACACAGTGGAGGGGAAACGATATCCCACTCTTGAACCAGGGCTCTTTTCATGAGGTGAATATTTGGGCTGCCAGAGTCCAACCCTGCCTGAATCTCAATCATTACCTGTTATAAAGAATAGGCAGCTCCTCCAGTAGTTCCTGGTTTAGATCTTCAAACACAATCTGGGCTTTGTTGAACTCTTCCTCTGCCTATAGATAAGATAATACTGCTCAGTCCTGAACCCAAGGGTAGAGACTGCCTCTTTTATCCTTTGCATTTCTTCAGAGACCAGACTTGGACACAAACCTGTCTTTCCTCAGACCCATGTGTCCCCCAGCCTCAAGACTCTGAGTATCCTTACAGCATCAGTGTCAGAAGAAACAGGATTTCCTTCAGGACACTGGATGCAGAATTTATCATTTCCTATACCCATCTTGGCTTGGCCACCTGCCTATGGGAAGAGGAACAACAGGAAGTTTTCACCAGGTTGTTTTGCTTTACCTTGGCAGTCTTGGCCTCATCTTTCTTCTTGGCATTCTGCACTGCCTCCAGATGGTGTCGGGCACTGTCATAGTCCACGAGTTTCCGACCCCGCTTGGCGATTCTCTCCTAACCCATGGTGATGAAAAAGGGTGTGGATACTCACTATTCAGAGGCCAGGATGTAGAGAACAGAGTACCAAGCAGAGAGACAAGATTCCTGGGTCTTCTTACCAAATTACACTTTCTAACAGGGTTTTGTGCCCAAGGGAACTCCTTTACTATGTGGGAAGAATGGGGCTTCTCAAGGGGAGACAGAGTAAGGAGCAATCCTATAGATCATAAGGAAACTTGTATTAAATTATAGTATTTCCTATGAACCCTTATAAACTGGTTTAGCCTCCTGGAGAAATGGCCTTGAGAATCCCACCAAATCGAAAATCTGGAGTTTAGGGTCTTAGTCTCCACTCTTCTATGCATTAGTCTTGTGGGTAATGGCAAGTACACATCTCTTTTGGAATCTCAGTAGCCTCATCTACCCTATAGAAGTCTTCTTTTAAAGTTTAAATGCTGAATATAGGCTGGGTGCAGTGGTAATCCTAGCACTCTGCGAGGCCAAAGTGAGACAAAACCCTTGAGCAGAGAGTTTGAGACCGGCTGAGCAAAGTGAGACTCTATCCCTACTAAAAATAGAAAAATTAGCTGGGCACCTGTAGTCTCAGCTACTCATGAGGCAAGGCTAAGGCAGGAAAATTGCTGGAGCCCATGAGTTTGAGGTTTCTAAGGCCAGTAAGACTCTCTGTCTTTAAAAAAAAAGCTGAATATAAAATTCTTTGAAAACTCTAAAGTGTTGGGGCGGCATCTATGGCTCAAGGAGTAGGGCACTGGCCCCATATGCCGGATGTGGTGGGTTCGAACCCTGGCCCTGGCCAAAAACTGCAAAAAAAAAAAAAAGAAAACTTTAAAGTGCAATAAAAACAGTAAATTATTATGGGCACTGAAAGAAAGTCTACTCAAACTAATCCCAACTATAATTATACCAGGAAAAGCAAACTATGTCACTGGCCTGTCTTAATCTCTCAGTCATGGAATTTGAAAAGATCTTAGCAATTATCTGGTTCAATTTCAATATAATACATGAAGCTTTTCTACAATATCTAAGATATAGTCTGGCTTCTGCTTGAACAGAAAATAGACAACTCACTACCTTAGAGTGCATTTCACTTCATTTTTAGAAAGCTTTAATATTAGAAACGTAAATCAGCCTCCTAATTTCTTCCTGTAGAGTCAGTATTTTTTTTCTTTTTTTCTGAGACAGAGTTTCACTGGGTGGAGGGTGGAGTGCTGAGGCATCACAGCTCACAGCAGCTCAGACTTGGGGCCCAGGGGACCCTCCTGCCTCAGACTCCAGAGCACCTGGGCTGCAGGTGCCATTGCTTGATAGTTATTTGAAGGTAACTATTTTCTGTCCTCCACGTTTTCTCTTTTACACAATAAACATCTCCAGCACCATTAATTATTTCTCTATAGCTAAAAGGGGATGCCTTGCCTTAGATCAGTAGTTCTCAACCTTCCTAATGCCGCGACCCTTTAATACAGTTCCTCATGTTGTGGACAGGAACTGTATTAAAGGGTCGCGGCATTAGGAAGGTTGAGAACCACTGCCTTAGATCTAATTAAAAACCAGCCAAATCTAGCTCACCAAAGTCTGAATTTAAACATGACCTTCACATAGCCTTTAACTCTCCATCCTAACCTGAATCCTCTTTCTCCTAACTTACTTGACTCTGTAAAATTTAGCCTACTATGTTCTCTAACCTGCACAGGCCATCTCCAACCCTGCCTGATTCTGTAAATCGAGTACCTTGATCTCGCTGAACTGGGCTACGTAGTTTTCCATGGTCCTCAAAGCCTGGTCAGCCAGTTTCTCTTCATAGTCTTCCCAAAGGAGATCATTATTCTGTGGGACAAAGGCAGAAGCTGGCGAAGGCTTTACTTAACAACAATTCCCTTCCAAGGAGCATGTTATTTATGATATAACATTGGATTCTGGGAAAGAATCAGAGGAAGAAGCAGCCCACGCCCATGTGGGAAAGTGTACATACGGTCAGGGATTAGGAACAGTAACATATTGCAAAAGCCTTGGATTCTAGAGCTTAGAGAATAGGGAAGTTTAGAAATAAATAACTGCATGAAGTTAGTTTTCATTTATTTATTTAGAGACAGAGTTTCACTATGTTGCCCTTGGTACAGTGGTATGGTGTCACAGCTCATAGCAACCTCCAACTCTTGGGCTTAAGCAATTCTCTTGCCTCAGCCTCCCAAGTAGCTGGGACTATAGGTGCCCACCACAATGCCCAGCTGTTTTTTTGGGTTTTTTTATAGTTGTCATTGTGGTTTAGCTGGTCCGGGCCAGATTCAAACCCGCCACCCTCAGTGTCTGTGGCTGGTGCCATAACTGCTGTGCTATGGGCACTGAGCCTGATGTTTTTTTTTGTTTGTTTTTTTTTTTTTATTGTTAGGGATTCATTCACCGAAGTTAGTTTTTTTTTTTTTTGAGACAGAGGCTCAAGCTGTCGCCCTATCTAGAGTGCTATGGTATCACAGCTCACAACAACCTCCAACTCCTGGGCTCAAGCGATTCTCCTGCCTCAGCCTCCCAAGTAGCTGGGACTACAGGCACTTGGCACAACGCCCAGCTATTTTTTGGTTGCAGCTGTCATTGTTTGGTGGGCCTGGGCTGGATTTGAATCTGCCAGCTCAGGTGTATGTGGCTGGCACCTTAGCCACTTGAGCTACAGGCGCTGAGCCCTGAAGTTAGTTTTTAATAAACAACTAATCTTCAAGAGGTAAAACGTCCATAAGGTTTTTCTTTTTTTTTTTTTTTAGAGACAGAGTCTCACTTTGTTGCCCTCGGTAGAGTGCCATGGCGTCACAGCTCATAGCAACCTCCAGCTCTTGGGCTTAGGCGATTCTCTTGCTTCAGCCTCCTCAGTTGCTGAGACTACAGGCACTGCCACAGGGCTGGCTATCTTTTTGTTGCAGTTTGGCTGGGGCTGGGTTCAAACCCACCACACTCAGTATATGGGCCAGTGCCTTACTCACAGAGCCACAGGCACCGCCCCATAAGGTTTTAAAGAGGGAAAGAAAGTAAAAAGCACAGAAATCCACAAATTAGGGAAAATTTGTTTTTAACTTTGACAGCTCCAGCTTCTTTCCACAAGCCAGTGATGGAGGCAATACAAATGGACAACATGAACTGGTCCTTTGTTCACCTGTGTTCTCAAATAAGGAAGCTAAGCTGAGCTGAGGTTGAGATGAGAACAGTAATAAGTGCTGAAAAGCTGTGGCGCCCAAGGCACCCTTACCCCTACAATGGCCGCCAACTCCTCATAACCGTCCCACTCGCTGCTATAGATCTCCTGTAGAGTTTCTGACACTTTCTTTGAACTTTCATGCATCACTGAAAAGAGAGAATCCAGTCCTACCATCAAGTTTCCCTAAAAGTAGGTTGGTATAACTATATGGGTGACAAATCAGTTCATCTGATTTAGAAGGACAAACTCAGAAGATTTATATCATTACTGAGGAAAGCTGGATGGAGCTAGGATAGAAAAGGTCACTCTTCCTCGGTCCGCAAAGTCCCAGGAGTCAAAGGCAGACAAGTGATAAAAAACCTGGGTTTCTTTTTCTACTCTCCAGACCACTTAGTAGCTGCATAAATGCCCTCTGGACCCTGCTGTGCTGTAATACTCACCTTTGACTGCACTAAGGAAGTTCTTCAGGTCCTTGTATAGCTTGTGGCCTTCTGCCTGAAAGGGTAAAATACATTTGGTAACTAAAGAGTACATCTCAAAAGATGCTCCAGAAGCCAAAATCAAAAACAGGTTAAAAGAGGAAACACACCTGAAATTTCTTCAAATACTCACAAGTATTATAAATCAGATTTTACTCTCTTTATTGACAAGTCTGTGTCAGTTTTTGAGATTGCGGCTGCTGGAGCTCCCATTGCCGTGGCATGTCTTCTTTGTTCTCTCTACCACTGAATAGGAGCCAATACCCAAGTAGCTCTGTTGAAATTTAAGTGTCCTCTATGTGGCTGTGATCCTCTGGCTTACACTCTCTTCTTTGGGTAGATAAATTGCTACCATTTTTTGCACACACCTCTTCCTTCTCTGAACCCCACACAGACCCTCCTCCTCTCCTGACATCTTTTGCTGCCTTACCTCACTTTGCCCTTCCCTTCCATCAGTCACCCGCTTTACACTTCTCCCCCTGGGAGTCTCTTTATTCACTCTCTCCCTGGTCCAACCCTGTCTCCATCTATAGTTCTATCCATCCCTGCTTTTGTCTTTGCTCCTATGTGTGAATTCTGATTTTTAGGGTTGGAACTCTCAAGCACAGACGAGGTTTCCTTGTCCTTCTAAAAAAGAAGAGAGGAAGGTATCGTTTTGAGTTAGAAGTTCAAATTTCAACTTGAACTTTTACTACAACTCTGACAAATGTCCACTTAGTTTCTGCTTCTTTTTTTTTGGAGACGGAGCCTCAAGCTATCCCCCTGGGTAGAGTGCCGTGGCATCA